GAGGACATGATCCCGACCTTGAAACCCTGATTGTGACTGGCGATGAAGCTGAAGCGGAGGCGGCGTTCAACCTAGCATCAAATTATGCACCTGTTCTTCAAGGCGGGTTCCAGGGTGGGATGCGGAAAGGTGCTGGTTTGTTCCAACTTGACACGCAAACGGCCTTCCGCTCCAAAAAGCTGCCTGAGGTCGAACTATCATCATCATCGGCCACATCCTCAAACCCGCCCTCTCCACCACTGCCTCGTTCTCCTCTACCTATGATGCCATCCACCACATCGTCCTCGCGGACACTACCCTCACCCAACTCGCAACACATCAACATCGTCGACGCCACGCCCTCTCCTCCGCCATCCTCAATAGGTTTCCGAAGACCTGCACCACCCCGCCGTCCAAGTGTGCCCAATCTTCGTCGATTAGACACCAGATCGGCCGAGCGTCTCAACCACAACGTCCCAAAGCTTTCCGTGCGCACAAAGCCTATGCGATCCGCCACGCTCACAATTCCCCCCACGCTCTCGCTCAACATCGGCCCCCCCCAATCGCCTTCCCATCTACAACTCATCTACTCCACCCACTCACCGCCGCTCTCTGCGCGGTTCACGCCAATGTCCCCGACCAATGACCCTTCCAACTACCTCACGCCGTACTACACACCACCGCACACTCCCGGTACGCCGAGGCCCATTTTCCCGCCATCGCCCTCTACAGCGCGCCCAGAGCTCGACCCGCCGACGACGGACGAAGCATACCCTGTGTTTACAATATCGACGATCTTGCCCAATTTCTTGTTCCTAGGCCCCGAGCTAACGGCTGTGGAGCAAGTGGAGGAGCTGCAGGAGCTCGGTGTTAAGAGGATTTTAAATATTGCGGCGGAGTGTGACGACGACCACGGGCTGCGGCTGACGGAGGTGTTCGATAAGTATTACAAGATCCCCATGCGCGATACAGTGGAGGAGGAGAACATCACGAAGGGCGTGAGGGAGGCTTGTGAATTTCTCGGTAAGTACTCTACTCGTCTGTTTTTAGGGCTTTGTTCTCTAATACATCATGATGAATTCTCCCTCGTAAAGACGACGCCCGCCTACACTCCGCCCCGACATACGTCCACTGCAAAGCCGGTAAATCACGCTCAGTGACAGCCGTCATGGCCTACCTCATTCACGCCAACCACTGGACGCTCTCGCGCGCCTACGCCTTCGTCCTCGAGCGGCGCAAAGGCATCTCGCCCAACATCGGCTTCGTCTCCGAGCTCATGAGCTTCGAGGAGCAGGAACTGGGGGGCAAGTCCGTCGGCGTCCAGCCCACCTCGGGTTCCTCCGTCCCGGGGTCCGGAACGATCGCCGACGGGGGCGGGGGCGGAGGCGCACCGAATCTGCCGGAGAGCTACGCGATGGCGGGCGCGAACCACCTGCGGCGCGGCGGACATGTGCGGGAGAGTCTGCCGCCGGTGATTGGGACGGAGGGCATGACTGGCATTGGAGGCGGGCCGATGTCAGCGGGCGGGCTGATGGACCGGGTGATGGGCGACTCGGGGCAGGAGATGGAGATTAAGGATTCGAGTGGGAGGTATAGGCATGCGAGGAGGGCGCCGGTGGATGAGAATACACTCCAGCCGATGAGGAGGGTGAGTAAGGCTGGTTTGGAGAGTTCCTCCTACGCATAGGCGGAGAGGTCTCTGGGCTGTTTTACCTGTTCTTGGGATTTCTTGGTTCTAGGGATGCCGTCGGTTCTATGGGTGGTTTCCCCCGTATTGCCTGAACGCGCGTGGTCGTGATTTTCCGTCCGCCATGTAAATTATCTGCGTTCTCCTCCCACTTTTTTATTATTATCAGCAATGTCTCTGTCTTCTTCTTCATTCTCTTTGGCTTGTCAATGTCGGCAATATCTCGTCTTATACACGTCATTCCCTTTTTATGATGCTCTGTTGTTTATATCCTCCCTCTTATATCACGGTCGAACATGCAATTAAATAAACCTCTGGATGATTTTTAAAAAGATTCGCCTCTACACAATGCTCTTGCGTTTGGCGAATTTATTCTTCCTGTCAAGTGAGACATGGATGCAGATGCATAAAACAGTCCTCAACTAACGTCAACTTATAGGAACCGGTCTACATAGCCCCCTCGAAAGAAATCTTTTTACCATCCGAACTGACAGCGACACCCAGCTGCATTATCTTCTCAACGGCTTCTCGATCAATCCCATCGCAATGGAACATTTCAAGACTCCTGAGAGGCCTTCCTACACTAAAGAGTCGACTGATAAGATCCTGCAAGTGGCAAGCATCCGTTTCTTGGTAGAAATATATAGAGTTCAGCGAAAGGCTGCCCAAAGCTGGAAAAAATGGGTATTGTCCTTCTCCTTGGAGGTTGTCGGCCATCGCGAGCTGCAGGCGTTCGAATGACAGAGTGTTCGGGATGTGTAGAGTCTCTACTTTCTGAAAGGAAAGGAGGAGCTCGGCTAGAAACTGTCCTTTGATACATCCTACTTCCTCGTTGAGGCTGAGACATAAGGTTTTCACTTCGGAACCTGCGATGCGGAGGAGGGAAAGAAGGGGGGGAAACAGGGCCGTAATGTTGATCCCCAGCTCGTCTGGTAAGTAGTGACATTGGAAAGAGAGTATCCTATTTCCTTCTGAAAGATACACCCCGTTCGTAAAACCGAGAGTTGCTTCTGCGTTCATCACGTAAAGGTCTTTCTTCCTGTTTATTGGTTTTATGGAGCCTAGGATTCTTTCCAGAGTCGACGTCATGCAGTAGAAATGGTTGTCGGGGGCGGTGTCGTAACATACAAGGTCTATCCCACAGTCAGAAGGGAATTCGACGTGGGTGAATACCATGCTGCATGCAGACATAGTCCCCATCAGCGCGATGCATTGGAGGCGCGGCAGGACGACCGTGGGTGGGGGAGCGGGCGCCCCTTCGGGTCGGCGTTCCCAAAAATGGGTGAGCGTAATTTTGAGTGTCTCGAGGTCTGGCATTCCACTGAGCGCTGGTAGCCACTGTCCAAAATCAGAAGCGACCTTATCCACTGATAGGCTAGTAAGATTTCGGAAGATAGGAGATGAAAGTCGGCATGAACAGCCCGTTAAGTTGAGAATTCGAAATTGGGGAGCATGTCCGTTGAATAATGTTTCAGGTAGTATATATTCCTTATCGGCAAATCCAAGATGAAGCGAAAAGGAACGTAAATCTGGCGCTGGGAGGGTTAGATTTTGCATTACGCTGTTCCACTGTGATGTCTTGATATTGGCGTACATCACACGGGATCTATGGATCAGGGAGAGGAACAGGTCAAGCCTGTCATCATAGATGGTTGACAAACTTGCTGCCCAGCCAACATAACCCCTCCAAGTGAGGTTGAGAGGAACGGATCCAGCACGAGAAAGTGCCTCCTTTATCCAAGGTGAAGGGTCTTCGAAGTTCAAAGAAGCCGCCCAGATCATGGGAGACTGAAGTGTAAACTCCCTCCACTTCTGGCACACTTGGGAGATCCTTCGAATGGTACAGCTGGGAGGAGGTGAATCTTCATACCCGCGGAATGTGTTGAGCATGAATATCTTTAATAGAACATCGTCGTTAAGCCTGGAAACGAGGGCCATGGAGTTGAACCGACAACGATCTTCAACAGTCCATTGCTGAAGAGTCGGGAGGTCAGGGACCAGGTGATCACGTATGAAATCCTCGACCACTGGCATAACCGCGATAAAGCCTTGAAGCAGTCGAGTGATCTTCAATTCACGATACAAAGCCACTGGTTAACTTGGCAAGATAACAAGAACCGATATAAACACACCTTGTTAGAAAATCAGAAGTAGAAACTGATGATGTTGGTTCAAGTGAGAATTCAGGAAGAAGCCTGAGTAGCGTTGGCGGGAACTGATTTTGACGTTTGATCGAGAGAAGGTGCCATTTCGCCGATGCTGAGTTTCAATTCTGCCGTGCAGACTGTGGAAATCCATCGTCCTCCGGACTGAAATCTGGAGAATTTTAAGGCGATTGCACTGTCGATTATTTACGTAGTCACACTGGTTGAAATTTTTACTGGGAGAATTACAACACAAAATAGGTATTAAATAAATAAAATGAGTCTGAGTGTTTCTGCCAGGAGTCCGGGCTATCTCAAGTTTGTGAGCGTGCATTTTCAACAGGGTGATGGGATGTTCCTAATAAGTAGTGATTTCTCATATGTTTTCTTCCGAGGGCATACTTGACTCTGTATGTTTTTTTTTTATTTTTATTATTATTTTTATTTGGAGAAATACAGGACGTTGACACTGTCATCAATTTCTCATTTTAGCGCTCACAGGCGCTTCGAGTGATGCGCATAAATCACATTGGTGAGACCCCCCCATAGCCACCCACATGTCTGGTCAACAAAAGAAAAAAACAACTACATAGAAGTTGAAATTTATAGGGTGGATTTTATCAACTATTTAGGCGTAACAACCTTTGCGAGACTTAGTACTGTTTATTGTATGGAGGGTTTGGGGATAAAATGTCTGTAGTAGTTATGTAGTCTGTAATTTGGTGATTATCAGAAGTATTCAGTAGAACTGGCATAAAAGGTCTGAATTTCTTTCTATTTTTTGTTGAAATTACGGACAGGCTTTACAAGGCGCCGGACTTGCCGAAGGCGGACTTCGATGGTGGGGAATCAGAAGATGACCGACGAAATAAAATTCCTGGCATATAGTTCGGATTCCCGCCAACCCTACCTGAGTGCAGTATCGCACTCACCCAGTGACTCAGAAGCTATGAATCTATGAAGGGCACAGGCCCGCTGCTGTGTGAAGATCGATGAAGAATCAACACGTTTGCACTTCCAACCACGGTGATCTAATAGCCACATATCCCAAGTCCCCAACCGACTCCGCGCTCGGAAATTGAGAACCATGTCTAAACGTCACTGATTAATCCGGTATGAGCTCCTAACCGCTCTGCGTACAAGTACATAAAACAGGTAAAAAGAAAAAAATACAACGACGATTTTGGGAACTCTCTGTCTGGGAGTCGAACCCAGCTTTCGCGCGTAACATTTCAGGATACTGACGCTCCATGACAGGCGCGTGTACTAACCGATATACTAACAGAGACGATGAAGGAGGTTATACTGAGCTCTCCATGCCGCGGGGAGCGCGTGCCCGTGAAGACCTATCGCACTCACCATCTCGAGTCCCAGAACTACTCCATTTGAATGACGAAGGCCTTCTAATTCGTCCTCCCCCGTGTTTCCATCTAACACCCACGCCTAGCATTCGCTACTCCCACCGCATCGTCCGCAAGGTCTCAGAACGGTTTTTGTCAAATGGTATTGGCTCTTACTTACAGCAACAGGCGCAGAGGGCACTCATGATCAGCCCACTAAGGATAAGTATCTGCCCTCGCCTACAAGTTTGCGATTGAGTCGAAGTATTTTCGAATTGATTTAGCGGTAGAGGTAAGTTTAACTAATGGACTCATCGTCGTACGGTTTCATTTCACAACGCGGCGCGCACGAATAGGAGACGCTTTGTTGCTGAATCGTCTTGCGGATTTGAAATCAGCGAGACGACAAAGTAGTATAAAACGGATCAGGTATCCTTTGGCCAGGGGGGAAGGCCTCGTCAGTCATGGCGATTAAAATGCATCTGCGTTCCTTCGAAAGAGGATCCACATTGACTGGCTTCGGCGGGTGCTCGACGAAGGTGGACGTGGGCGTGGTCGAGAAGGAGCCTGACGGACTCGGAGGAACCTTGGGTCCTTCAGAGAACACTGCAGAGACAAAATCAGGGTCCAGTCTCAGATATGTCTCAGATTTGGAGGCAAAGAGCTTACATGCTGCGTCCGACGCCTCTTTTTTGGCCACCTCTTCCTTGATTGCCTCCAGGACTTTAGAGGCTGGGACTTCGATGCCGAGTTTGGTGAGTGCAGCCCCTAGAATATCGACATCCACGAGACTGAGGCACAGTGACAGAGGAGGATGGGAAGGAGGAGGAGGCATAGGAGGAGGAGGAGGCAGCATAGAAGTCGACATGACATCAGTAAATCGTGGAAAAATTGGTATGTGGTTGTGGCTCCGACAACCCGGTGGCAGTGTTGCGTCTTCTGACAACGCCAGATATGGCATTATATCTTGGTTGCCGATATGGTCGAGACGTTATCGGAATGTACTCTTCTGGTCAGATTTTTGTAAGCTCATGTCAATCTTATAGATCCATATATTGCCTCTCTCAGAATGATATGAAGGTTATGAGCGACTGATCATTATTAGACATTAATTATACTCAGTTGCAAAGGTAGTACCAGCATTTCTGGGGTCATGTAAATGCTCGTCAGTATGATTGAATTTTATAATGAAGTTTTCATAATTGCCAGAGGATTGCGACTTGCCAATCAGTATTTCGGGTTGGGTATAATCTCTTTGAAAGATCTCGCCAGCTTGAAGAAAGCCTTCGGCGGTCCATTTATGGACGAAACATCCGAGTCGCGCTCCGAGGACCGAGCGAGGTCAGAACTATTTCTCCCTGTAAGTCTGTAAACTCACAACTGCCAGCAGATATGAAGTCAACCCAAGCATCATCCTTATGCCTGCCTTATTCTATTGCAGAGCCAGATGGCAGTGCTTGGAGTAGATTACTGGACATTACTGAATGTTGAGTCGCGGACTTAAGAATCGGAGTCGGGAATGACGGATACAAACAAAATTTAAATTACTCCCAGTCCTTAGAACTCATCCAGACCCTTCAAACCTCTTCAAATCAGTGCAAGAATATTTCACTCAAGTCGTAAGAGGGACTTAGAGAATTATTGAGGGAAACCAGGCACGTGCACATCGACAATGGAACGGAACGGAACGCGCTAAGCCGGAGATCATGTGAACGCATTCAACGGTCGGAAAAGGAAATTGATGTAAGTTGATTCGTTGAACTTCGGAATCGTTGCTTGCCTCCCACCAATATGTTCTCACTCCCCCACCCTCGGCCTGTTGCTACTCTCCCCCAAGGTCACTCACTCTAGGATGCGAAAAACCTATATAACAAGAACCAGAGAACTCCTGATCGAGCCCGTCTCTCCTCCTATGTCGTTGTTGGGCTTGCGACGCTGACGAGCGCCCCAAGCCCAACTCCGACATTGGTTTGGTTCATGGGTGGTGGAGATGGCGCTGACGGGCGTACATCTCTTCCATTCATTGCCACTAGACCGCCGCAGTCAGCAGCTCTTCAGTTTCTTTCACGTCGTCGGAATCGTTGCAACTTGCCTCGTTTACAAGCAATTGGTATGTTTGTTCTTGGATCATCATTGTCTCCTTCACTAATCCTTGTTTATTTTGGAGCTTCCGAGTTTTCAGCAAGCTCGTCACCTTTGTGCTCGAGCCACGCACCGCCTTGTCATCGAGTCGTCTTCAAGTACAAGCTTGTTGTATCTTGAAGCTGGAATTATGGGTGCACCTCTGGTACATTGTCGATGTCTCGTTTTCTTATTTACCGTTCCAATCACATTCATAGCAGTGTCCGTTCTGTAGAGTCTACTCTCCAGTATTGTATCGGTAGTATTGAAATAAACCATATTTGAAACCTGCTACCATATTCTCGAAGCGTCGCAAGCAATATTAAACCGATGGAATAGCGTTGCATTGCCATTACAAATGCTACTCAGAAATACCTAGCAATACAAGGCCTTGAAATGCCCTCTCAACCTTACAGCAGTGACATATTGCTATCGGAATGGCAGCAAAATGGCGGCAAAGATATTAAGGAGGGGTGTCGATGTATTGCCATTGTAACGGATGCTGCCATATGATTGGAAATTATACCGGTGACATGATATGGCAGCACAGATATTCCCCTTATAAGGCATTACACAAATTTCCACAATTTACTGATGGATGGTTTGAAAGAAGTCTGACTGATGACGTCAGTTGTTCTGGGGCCGCAGACAAGTCCTTAAACTACGTACCACAAATTCTGACCGCCTCAAAATAATTGGGCCGCGGCAGTGTATAAGTAGTATACTCTTTTGTATGTCCTCATCCGATTGCCTCACGAGCTCACCGAGGTCAAACGCGAATTCATGGCTTCCTGCACTTGAACGCCTGACACGCGCCAACCACCGTATGTGATGGGGATCTAATTTGGTTACGTGCGCCACATCAATGACTTCATACCCTGATCTCCATCGCGCTCGAGACTCGAGAATGATTTATTTCTGAACGTTGAACTCTCGAGTAGTCCAGTTCCAACTTCCCAACTTTGGAATAAACTAAGTAAAAAGTAACAAATTTTAAAAAATTGTCAATCGGCAAGCTCTCTGTCTGGGAGTCGAACCCAGCTTTCGCGCGGTCTATTGTGAAATTTACAGGAATGACAGGCGCGTGTACTAACCGATATACTAACAAAGACGATGTACGAGAAGGGCATGAATCCTGTACGTGTGAGGAATTCAATCTTACCACCCACTTGAGAGCGCCGCCAGTGCCTGAATACCCTCAGCATTGCCTCAGCCGTTGAGCGTCCTGGACTCCTGACTCACTACTCACGCGCACGTGTCACACGGAATGTGATGCTTGAGGTGTGTGATTTCGGGAAAGATAGATGAGCCGGACGCGGGACCAGATCTAGCGTGGTAAAAATGAATTGACGCCAAGATGTGACAAGCGTGACCTGGAAAGTGGTGCACATTTTTTCAGCTTTTGGTCCAGCCTAAGCCACCGTCGTTACAATGTCAGTCGAGGCCGCTCGCACGAGAACACTGCACAGCAAGAGATCGTTTGGAAAGTACCCAAAGGTGGTTGATTCCCCGGCATACGACGCGTGAGTGGGATATGTTTTGTGTGTTTATCGGATGATCCATTTATCGGATGTGCAGATCAGAGGAGGACAACGACCCGCTGACGGACGATGGCAATTCAGCCGCGTCTGTTCCGATCGCAATATCTCGGCATGCAACCTCTCCATCCGCGACCCGTTCCTCCCATCCAAAACAGCCCTCTGGATCCCGCACCAGACACCATCTAGCACAACACATCGTCTCAGACTCGGACAGCGTCGACTCTCCTACGTACGACGGTGACGTAGAGTCCAGCACCACAGCCGGCGCAGATACCCCAGCATTGTACCACCACCACTCCACCTCTACCCTCAACACCCCAGTTACCCCGGCCTTTCCTGTACCCACCACCACCACTCCCCCCGCCACAACCCCGAGTGCGGAGCCCCCTAATCCCATATCCTCCACCATGCGAGCCATCCACCCCAACTCGCACCTCCCAGTCTTCATCTCCCCTCCCGTAAACACCACCGCCGCCCCTCTGCTCGTCACAGAGGAGCCAGCCGTGTCCCAGGCAGCGCAAGCCGCCTTTAACCCTGCCGCCCTCACCCCCGAGGACATACAAACGTTCGTGGCAAAGGCTATCGAGGGCGAGGCTGGCCGCAAGTACAAGATCAACCCTCCCCCCGTCGATCGGCCGGTTCGCGTCTACGCTGATGGTATGTCGTCTCTCAAATTCTATCCTCATCGCGATTGCCCCCTCCTCCTCGTCCCATTCCTGATTATTTTTTTCGTCCCCTTGGCCTACGTCACACGTTCATAATCACATGATAGGCGTCTACGACCTGTTCCATTTTGGGTATGCGCTTCTTTAAGTTTCATTGGAGCGATGCCTTCCTGACATTCGAACGTGTCCACAGACACGCACTGCAGCTCCGTCAGGCCAAGTTCTCATTCCCCTCCGTGTACCTTCTCGTCGGCGTGAACTCGGACGAGCAAGTGTGGGCGCATAAAGCGCGCACTGTGATGAGCCACGCTGAACGGTGAGTCGCGCGTTCTAATATTAATGTTATCCATCATCGTACGCCGAAACTGAGAAACGCTGTGCAGGCTAGAAGCCGTGCGCCATTGTAGATGGGTAGACGAGGTCGTCGCAGAGGCGCCGTGGGTGATCGACGAAGCCTTCCTCAAGAAATACGAGATCGACTACGTCGCGCACGACGAAGACGCATATGCCAGCGCAGGGATCGATGACGTCTACGGATACGTCAAGAGCCAAGGTCGGTTACCTATTACCTATTCATCTCACCCTCCCTCGCTAAGTAACGCCCCCTCTACCCACCAGGCAAATTCATACCCACGCGGCGCACGCCCGGCGTATCCACCTCGGAGCTCCTCGAGCGCATCGTCTCGGGGTACAGGAACCGCGACTTTGACGACAAGCTCACGAAGATGGGGCACTCGGAACTGCGCGCGGAGGGGAGCGACTATGATGGGCAGAGCCGGCGCGCGAGTCGCAGTGCGAGTCCCACGCAGGGCCAGGGGCAGGCGAGTCCAGAGGCGTTGAGCCCGACGCAGCGGAGTCCGGAGAGGTTGAGTCCGGTTTTGGGCGGGCAGTGAGGGGTTGGGGGTAGAGGGGCGAGAGGGGGGTAGGAGGGTTAGGGAGAAGGGAGAAGAGGGAAGGGAAGAGGAAATGGGCTGGCTAGCGAGAATAATTATCCGCGGAATTGGATGTGCTGTGTAATGGTATCTCTGTTTTGTTCTCCCCTATCTGTGTTGTGGCGCGTCGTACTGTTGTCGTTGTCTCCTCCTTCTCGCCCCTGTCACCTCCGCTTTGCGTTTCTTCCTCCTTCTGCCCTGTTTTACTATAACTCAACATTAAATCCCTTTCCTTCCTCCAAGTCCTATATCCACGACATGCTTTATATACAATACCTCAATACCTATACATTCGAATCGAGATCGTTGACCTTTTTACATTTCCGTTTCTCTTTCAGACCCTACTACCTATTCATCCCCGGTCGATTGATGCATGTTGCTTGTAATGTATGTAATTTCTGGCCGGCCTTCTCCTTCTTCTGCTATTACCTACGTATACCTTCTGCCTAAAGCTCTCATTCCATGGCCAGCAGAGCTGGCATGGGATATACTTCGAGAGACTAGAATGTAGAATATTATAGATGTAGATTTGTACAGAGATGCTATGTGGTTAGTCTTTTATTTTTGGTCTATGGGGAGGAATCCGAAGTGATATATGATAATTGAAGCAACACTTACTGTACATATGATGGTCACGTCTGGTTTAAGGGCGCTTACTACTACTACTTCTACTTCTACTGGGGACTCAGCAGTGAGCACTGAGCGCTGAGCACGCTACTATTCCTTGATCATGTGACGACAGGCTAGCGAGGCTAGGCGCTTACACACCTTTCTGAGGCCTTAGGCTTTGTGGCGTTTAGCGATTGCCACTAGTACAAAAAGAGGAGTTTTGGTTCCTCTTTTGGATATCGCTTGCATTAGCGCCCTTTACGCGGATACTAACATACTTGTACAGTAACTCGTGGCCATGTAGCATACATAGGCCTAGTAGGGGAGGTATTTACAAAACACTATGATCTCGCGAGTCCCCGGAGAGATGTTGACCAAGATCGTATGGCCCTCGAGGGCTGCAACGAGCCAGAAAAGATGAAAGGTGATAGGCGACGCAGCTGATACTTTCTGCATAGAGCTCTCACTCAAGACTCCACTGCCACTGCACCTTCATGCTATTCGGCCGCCCAGGTGGCTGGAGCGATGCGACGCCAGATACGCCTGCTTTCCTGTTACTGTGGTCGTCATGTGGGGGGAATTCGGAGCGATATATCGATAACTGAAGCGACATTTACTGTACATATGCTGGTCACGTCTGGATTAAGAGTGCAGTCTTCGTGAATTGGAATTTACGGGGTGATTACGGTGAGAATTACGGCGGCAACTTCGGTCCTTTAATTGAAGAAGCTCGCTCAGAGTCATACAAGTCGCCTTTCACCTCAGAAGGTGCTGGCTGACCCCCAAAGAGAATGGGGGGTAAATATGAGGTAACGAGCGGTGTAATTTGTATGATTTCTTACTCTCAATTATGAGATATACCACAGTTTAAGTATCCAAAATATAAATTGGAAAAGGGCTTTTCCATGTATATTTTAACAGAACATCTTGCCGTTTGCAAGTGAGGTGGACTTAACAATTGAGCTAAAAACGTCTAATTGGTTGATACGCTGATTTGCAGATTTAAATCTATATAGCTAATAAATACCTCTCGCGATTCTACTACAATATCAACATGGCGATAAGGGCCTGGGATGGTTTGTCGACAGGACCAAGACAGGATGCGTCGAAATGGGCTGTCGGTTGAGCGTGCCCGCCGTGCTGAGCGTTTCTCTCATCATGTGACTAGCTGCCACCGTACCGTAAATTAAAATTGCGCCGTAATCACCCTGTGAATTCCAGTTTACTGGGTTTAAGGGCGCTTACACGCATTTGTGGCATTTAGCGATTGCCACTAGTACAAAAAGAGGAGTTTTGGTTCCTCTTTTGGATACCGCTTGCATTAGCGCCCTTTACGCGGGTACTAACATACAGTAACTCGTGGCCATGTAGCATACATAGTTGATACATAGGCCTAGTGGGGGAGGTATTTACAGAACACTGTGATCTCGCGAGTCCCCGGAGAGTTGTTGACCAACATCGTATCGTCCTCGAGGGCTGCAATGAGCCAGAAAAGATGAAAGGCGATAGGCGATGCCGCAGATAATTTCTGCATAGAGCTCTCACTCGAGACTCCACTGTCACTACCCCTGCATGCCATTCGGCCGCCTAGGTGACTGGAGGGACACGACGCCAACTACGCCTCCATGCCTATCACTGTGGTCGTCATCCACATGATATTTATCTTATTCGCGGGGATGCTACTCTGCTTTGACGCAACTCTGCTTTGACGCAACTCTATGTAGAGTATATCGAGCGCTGCCGAAAAAGCGAGGCACTCGTTATTTGCTTCTTTGGCTGACTGAGAACGGCGTTAGTGCCCGAGTGCCATGGATAGAGCAGTACTGGAAGCCTTTAGACAGGGATCTTCGCCAGTCCACCTGTGCTTCAGTCCGATGATCGTTTGATAGCGATTAATCGTTGAGGTGTTCAAGTTCAAAATTGGCTACAAGTTGATGCGCCATGTGTGATATGCAACCAAATCAACAAGAGGGAATTACTTACCATGACCACCCCCTGCCACACAGGAGTCTGGATCCGAGGAGGAATTCTTAGGTATAAATATCATAACGCTGTTAAAAGAGGTATCAGAAACTTGGCATCGGATCAGTCAACCATTCACGATGGTGGGTAGTTTTCCATCTATTTTTTCCTTTAGCCCCAGTAAGTTGTGCAAGGCTGAGTGTTTTCGAAGTGAAGTCCCATGCCTCAGTTTTAATCCACCGTCACTAGAAATACTTAGGCCGTTGCACACATAGGGCTGTTATAATCAGATTTCTGATCTTGAGTCAACACATGCGGTGGTCATGACAGATATAACTGCAGTCAACTTGGATTCCCAGCTCAAGTTACAAGCAAGCAATAAATTTATACCAGCACCCGACA